TATAAAGTAAATATACAAATATTTATAATATATAAATATACAAACTTGCATGTTTATATATTATATTAATTAAATTTACTAAATTAAATTATAAATTTATTTATATATAATAAATTATTACATATTATTATTATTATTTAATTAATTAATATTATTTGTACAAAGTAAATATACAAATATTTATAATATATAAATATACAAACTTGCATGTTTATATATTATATTAATTAAATTTACTATTTAATATATTAAATATATTTATATGTAATAAATTATTACATATTATTATTATTTAATTAATTAATATTATTTGTATTTTTTATACATATTCAATGTGTATGTTATAAATATATATATATATATATATATATATATATATATATATATATATATATTATATTCAATAATAGAGTCACTTAAAATTTCTAAAGAAAAAACTAGAGCCTAGAAAAGGTAACGAAAACGTGAGGAAACGTCCGAAGGACAGGCTCGAGGGACCAGGAACGCTAGAGTCACCTCTGTGCTCTCACACACAGCTCCGCACACGCAGATGTCAGTTGGCACACGGTGAAACACGTAACCTAGGTGAGATTATGTTCTCGCGTCGTGCTATCCGTCGGAGTATACAGAGTTTGGGGTTGGCCCGAACATCAATAGCCATCAATCATTCGAAAATTTCGGCAACGCGCTGGACAACACGAGAGGCAGGATACTATCACCAGAGTAGAGTTCTTCGGGACCACGGAGGGAGGACAAGAGGCGAGAGGGAAAGGAAGAGGGACACTAGGAGGAACGTTCGATACCACCAAAAACGCGGGCCAACATTAGCGGCGGCTCCATAAATTCAAACGGCGCGCCATTCGTATACGATGCCTCGTGCACGTACGCTTGCACGTGACACGCTGCACTCTGGTAAGTATGCGCAAACTTATGTGGGATAAATATAGAAGTAGGCCGACACGGAGATTACTGCTTAAGCAACAATGCAAAAATGAATGTCGTATGGTACGAAAGACAGAGCGTGCAAAATTGTAGAGAAGATTTTCACCAGCGTTTGAACTGGAAAAAATCATGTTTTTAAATATTTCATTGCTTAATTCGATACGTGTTTTGAAATGGATGCTCGAAAGAGAATCGCTCGGCACTACGAGGTGAACAATACTCATTTTCTATCGTAACGAAAGTAAGAATTGGAAATAAAAATGTTTCGGAATTTTTGTCTCCTTCCAATTAAATGAATCAAGTTATCAATTTGACTGTGTCAAGCAAGTGTTATCGATAGCTTATGATAAACGTTTGTTAAAGCCGTATGAATGATGACGAACGTTTTATGTACGTATGAGAGTAAGAATTGAGAATAAAAATTTTTAAAAATTTGTAAATGTTTCTAAATAATCTTTCAATTATTTTAACCAAATTATCAGCTAAATGTTAGGCGAATATTATCGGCAATTTACGCGTAACGTTTGTTAAAGCAGTACGAATAATGATGAAAAGATACCGGTGAACGTTTCATCAGTCGGAGGGAACGGCGACCTACTCGAGCTCATGCTATTCTGGTACAAAGGCGACTGTTCGCAGATGACTCGCGCAGTTGGCGCGCATGTAAGCACGAATTGTATGCGACGACATGACACACCATCCTCCACGTAAGCGCCATTTTCACGCAACAGGTTGAGAACAATCGACCAATTTTAGATCACGTAACTCGCTGATCATATTGACTCGACTGTATCTGCTGTACGTTTCATCGATTTCTTTTTCCGCGGCGCAGAATTTCTTAATAATATACATTCTAATTTCATTGAAGCGGTTGTGCAAATACTCGAGATTGAAAGTGTCATTCATGTTCAGAAACTTCGTTTTAATCACCCAAGATAAGATAGTGCCAATCTCTGTGTGAGAGCGAAACGATAAGTTTCGTGAATTTAATCTTTTAGAATAACATTAAGGGGGATCGAGTTCGTAATTCAAATGTTACAAACGAATTGTTAAAATTGTTAAACAATTGTCATTGAAGCGACTCGGTTTAATTGTCACAACAAATTATTGGAAACGTTTCAGAAAAAATTTTTTACGTGGTTTAAAAATTCCACGAAAATTTACAGTTTGTATTCTACGATTGTATTGGCGCGTTCGTATTAGGAAACGGGATGAGAAAGTTGAGAGCGGAGAAAGAGAGGATGCCATCCGCCTACAACCGTATAAGGAGCCCGCGCATCTACTAGCAGAGCATGCGAGGCGAGTAGGTCGCGCTATACCCGTTGGCTCTGCTGAGCTCCTGATATTACGGCCACGTGTTTCGTCGCGGTACGTCGATCTGCCAGTGAACCACGCGACGAAACAAGCTCCACGCCCTTCATGCCGGTCTAATAGCCGGGAATCGAGATTAGAATGCACGTGGCTACCCTTCCGGAATCCACGATTGTCGCAATCGTCAAACAATACTTCTGATACCCTATACCCGTAAGAACTTTTGAAGCAAGCAAATAATTTAAATTCAAATTGTATCCTTCGTAATCTACGGTCAACTTAATTGTCACGCGAGACTGCTATCGACTATCGATCCTCTGTCGATGTTTTAATCAAACTCGCGTCATTTTAATACGCTATGCAACAGAGGTTGTGAAAACATTATTAAAAAACCTCTTTCTTACGTGTGAATTAATTACTTTTAGGGAATTGTGTCATTGAGTTATTATATCTTACGTATATATGTATTTAACTGATCGTTTGCGTTTTGAATGTCAATTTTTTCGGGAATAAATTAATTGTAGTTAATTATTGATGAACAATATATGTATGTATCAATAAAATTGAATAAAATTTCACCTGCGGATAATTTGTCGTATCGTTTATAAATTCCTGAATATAATTTGCAGCAATGATATTACGTTATATAATGTATGTTTGTACGTGCGAATTGATTCATTACCTATGTTAATTAATGTTAACAATTTAATAAAGTTAATAGGCTATAATAACGAAACTCTACGTTTCAAATTTCAATTTAACGAGTAAGATGTTAATTGACAATTAATAACAAATCGTAAAAAACATATAATATTAGAGAATGTTGAAAATATACACAAAATAATAATATTTTTTATGTGAATATGATTTTCTACAATCTGAAATTCAACAGCATTTAGATACAATAATAATGCGTAGTTTGTACTTTCTACAAATTATTATCATAATTTAAATGATTTGTAATATCCTAAAAATATGAAACACATGTCAAAACATCTAATAATGTTAAAATATTACAAAAAAAAAAGCAATAAAAACGTCTACAACCAAGATTCTGCACCGTGTAATATGAATTTCATTCCATTTCGTCATTTTTTAAATATGTACGTTGGAAGAGTGAGAAAAATAGGTTATAACATATAGGAGGTATATATGGAGCGTTATTCGTAGCTTCTACAGCAGCATGGCCGCCTGATAATGAATCCGCGACTCGCGGAGTCCTTGCGGCCACATTACGCGTCGCTCTACGAACGGAGTCGCGATCGGAGTCGTCGAAGGCGCGTGGAAAAAGGCAAAAGGGCTAGCCATCGACCGCGATTATATTTCGATACACGCGTGCTTACTTACGTATCGTTGACACTCGCCAAGACTCCTCACCTGCCCATCAAAAGACGTAAAGTCATCCACATTGGCCAACCAAGGAACCGGGTCACACGCGAGAAAGAAGGTTACGCTCGACGATGCACCGTACGTATCGCGGTTCTTGCGCCTTCATGTACGCCTAGTCGTTACTTGGCGAAATGTGGACGCCTTTCGGGAACTGTTTTTCTTGGCACCCTGAAGTGTACCCCGGGTGCGTCCAATTACCTGCGAGGGCAATATTAGGTGACGACCGAGACTGCAACGTTACGCGATGGCGGCCGATTCGAATACTGCCGTAGGCGCCAAAGTCTTGGAAACAGCTGGCAGAAACTGTTTTATCTACATACGGTAAAATCAATTTTTCACTAACTAACATCGCAGACGCAGACGAGGTATATTCTACAGACGAGATATATGAATAAACCTGGCATACAATGTATTTTTTTGTATAAAATTCCGACTTCGGAATCCGAGGACCCCCTACTATTTTTGTGTCGTATTTAGGTAAGGTTAGTATCACAGCGCTACCAGTGATGGGAATTAAAATCAAAATATATGGATGTTGCCACATTGTTTATTGAATTGAACGTAGAATCATTTCGGTTAGTTACTAGCTTTTTCGGTGTTGAAAATTTAAAAACACTGCGATGAATTTCAAAAATCATGTCTGGCACATGTTTTACTACGTCGGTATTTCAGAACGAGACACGAAGTCCCACAAGATGCACGGTCTATTCTGTCTAAATCGATATGGTAGGATGTGACATGAAAATGATCAGGTGACCTCCAAAATAAGGGACACGAAAAAACATTGCTAGTAGCGCTATGGTGTAAAACCTGTTGTAAAATCGGTATTTAATACGCGAACTTGTAGAAAAATGTTTATTTTTCCTTCAATTACATAGTAATTTTTTACCAAAACTTTAAACTGTATAATAAAATGAATTCCTTAAATTCTTTTTAATATACAAGGAATAAAAATATCTTCAATGTTGTGGTGAGACTAACTTGCCTTTATTTACTACAAATTATAAAAATAAACAGCAAAACTTTTGATAGATATGAAAGTATCTTCTTTCATTAATCTTCATCGTCGCTAATTATTATACGAGCTGACCTCTGTTGATTACGTTGTTTTTGCGCTGGTTCTTCCTCGTCGTCACTAATAATTATCGTCCTCTTCTTGGTATCCTGAGACATTAGTGGCTCCTTCTCTTCGTCGCTATCCAGAAGACGACGTTTTTTCACAGTTTCGTTTTCCTTGTCCGAGCCATCGGATCGAGATCTTTTCCCCTCATCTATTACAAATTTTCCAACAATGAATTATAAAATAGCAATGTAACAGTAATTTTAGATAGTTGTCACTTTCTTTCTTTACCTTCATTGGTTTCTATCTCCATTTCTTCAGAGTCAGACGAATCATGGATCAAATTAATACGTCCACTGAATTTTCTTTCTCCAGATTTTGATTTCTCTACAACTAATACAGAACATTTTACAGTTTATTTGGTTAAAATAATATAATTTCTGAGTACATTTAGTAATCTCTAAAGTTCAGAATGTTGAGCCAGCCTCGTCAATAGAGGGCACATAGCTGTCTTTTTGAATGTAGGAATTCGTACCGACTGACTGCGAATTCTCTGCTTCCGCTTCCTTCATTTCTGTATCGATGCGTTCAATCGACGTCGGGAAAGCTGATTTTCTCGTTGGTTTTGACACCGAATGAACACTGGTTTCAGTGTCAAAATTGCGAGAAGTTGATGGTTGCGGCTCGTCTTCTAAAAATATGCGAAAATATCTTCAGCATTATCGTCTCTATCTAACAACTTGGAACACGTTAAATGACATTATTTAATTTTTCTCTGTTCAAAGAAATTACGGAAAATTCCTCAACGAATAATAGCTACCTCATTATTACTTACTATGTTCGTTATATGTTAATAAATAAACTTCAACGTGACATGTACCTTTCAAAGCGAAGTACTTCTTAATATTTTCCAAGACATCTTCGTCCTCGCTTCCACTGCTTTTATCATCATCAGGTTTCATTTTTGTCGGCGCTGATTACGCAATAAAAAAAAATATACGTAGATAGAGATTTATTACACGTACACGCGTGTCTTCTTCTCTATTTTTAGAAACGAAGAAGTGTAACTGACAAAAAGATAATACCTTCGAAAACGAAGTTTCCTGCCAATACAGACTCGATAAGATCACAGCGTTTCTGAATCAACGAGGCAGGCATATTAGACGGTATGCGCCAATAAGATTCTTGTTCATCAGCAGGAGGTGTGAATCCCATAGCCCGAATAAGCTTCTGAAAGCTCGGCGAATCCATTGCAGCCGACGAATAATCTGTCAGCGGGACTAAGGGGATACCTTCGGTGCTTTCCTCGTCTCGATCGTCCAGGACATCCAGTAGGGATTCCTTGATCCATTCCAGAGCCTCGTTCATATCTGATTCATCGAAAGATCTGCTATTACATTTTTCCATCGAACTGAGAGCACACTTTTCTTTTTTTTTTTTTTTTTTAAATCGTTTCGCGACTCTTTCAAAGTTTTGCGATATACCGTTTATTGAAAATGAAATGTCGAACGAAAATGGTTTGAGGAGAGATCGGAAATTATTCTAATCGAATAATTTTACTACGTGTAAACACGTGTTATAATTACTCATAATTGTGGTTCATGATTCACAGAAATACACAGCAATTCACAGGAATAGACAAGATAATAAATTTTCAGTGATGCACAGGGTATACACTTGATAAATTTTCAAACTCGATTCTCCCGAAAACGAAGGCTTTAACGAAAAAATTTTGTTCTTACTTTTCGACTCGGTTTTTTACACGTAGAATCACTGCCCAATCGCAACATTCTGTGTATACATGTACAAAAAAAAAAAAGAAAAACAATATTCAGGTATATCGTAAGAAAATATATGAACCGTGCGACCCTCCTTGAGAGCAATGGCATTTTGATAGGCGACAAAAAAAGGATTACAGGACCGCTTTATAACGACGTCTTTGCCAGAAACCCACTGGGGGGATATATAGACTGGTATTTCACCGCAAGCGGCGGTCTCTTTGTCAAATTATTACTTGTTCCCACTCGTTTTTTACTCCTGAACGATCACTACAGGTCCTTTCGACCCCTCGCGTTCTTCTCGAAAGACATTTGTCCTTCGTTGACTGTGTAAAGAAAGAGAGAGATATTCCAACGTATCTACCCTAAATTTCATTGCCATAAATCACAGTCGAAAGCTCACAGGCCGTGATACGACGTTACTCACTCTTGTCGATGACATCCTTCAACAGCCCTGATAATTGTTCATTCGTGTAAACCATCGTTGGCTGTTTCCTCGCATTTTTCTTCGTACCCTTGTCCGCCGGTTTATTGGAAGCCCGGTTCTTATTGCTCGAGGATTTCCCAGCTTCTTCGTCGCTACTTTCATCCTCGTCGGAATTACTGGCAGACCGCGTTTCCCACGACGATTTACCTTTTTACAAAGTAATGGGAAATGGATATAAACGTTTCTCGATATGGCTTTGCTCGGTCGCAAACGCTCGCGGAGCGAGGTCTTTTAAAAACGTGCGCTCACAACGTGAAAGTCAGGTTGAATAATTTTCAATGTAACATTCTGTGAAATAGAATTTTTCAATCGAGACGCAGAAAAATTCGTAATTTTCTGTTTTTTCTTTTTTTTTTTTTTTTTGAATGAGGCGTCGCGAACTCGCAAGAAGCGAGACCAAAGTTTAATATTATGGCACTTGCAAGTTGAGATCGTACGCGACTACGCGCGCGCCGTGCATCTGCATGCGGCGTTGCAGCGAGAAGTTGGCGAAAAGTTCGAGAAACTATCCGAAACAAAAAAGTATCAATATTTCTGTAGCTTCCTGCTGTATGTTCCAGCTGAGCTTAAATACCGCGTTGCGTCACGGGGAAATCGGCGATGCTCTTGTAACTTTCGTAAGTTTTCGAACTTTGAAATTTCGAAATTTCCAAAGCTCGGCGAAACTTTGTTAACTTTAATGAAATTCAGCCGTCGATCGAATCAGCGCAAAGCGAACGTGGAAATATCAGACTGGCCGAAAGGTAACTGCGTTCTTTTTATTCCTTTCGCGTGCAAAATGAAAGGCGAGTTTTCCATTATTGGCCATTTTGTTCGATTACCTTTCATCATGTTTCAACTTCAAAGCTCTTATCCTCTCCTGAGACCTGGCAAGCTCTAACAATTCTAATTCTAGTTCGGGGGCTTTCTGAAAGTCGGCGTTAAATAAACAGTTGTTGCATTCTATTTTTCTACAAGTTCGAACAATCAGCTTCGATTCCACGGTGAATCTGCGACTTCCTTTGACTAACTTCACTTTAAAGAATTCAGAATGAAGTTAGTTACATTTTAAGGCGTATCTCCATCTATTAGAAAAAAAGCAATTACTTTTTGGCTGATTCAATAACAATAAATGAATGAATTTACGTCGAACATCGCCGATGACGTGGAACTATAAGGAAAATAAGCGTATCTTGGCGCGGATTTGCAATGATAATACATGTAGTGAAATTAGGAGGATACGATCATTTCTAGAAGTAACCTATTTACTAATTTTCTACTGAACTGAAAACTTTCTTGCATGTTGTTTTGAAAGCATATCGATCGACGCACACGCGATATTAAGTTCCACCATTTCTGAAAACACGCCATACGTTTCGATCGTGGGACCGTATTCGGAGGAAACTCGCGACCATATTCGAAGAAAGCAGAGGAGGGGGTGGGAGGAGGGGGGAACGTTCTTTCAATAACACGGAAATCGAGACAAAAGTTCGCTTTTACACCTCATCCCCGAATCTTATACAGGGTGTTTCGTAACTTGTGGGACCCACTTCGACAGCTGATTGTACGCCTAAAAATAATGAAAAAAAAAGTCATATAAATATAATGTCCTATCTGTCTTCGTTTATGAGATATAATTTCTGTTTTAATTACTTTTACAAAAGATGCTCGAAACGACCACCTTGCATTTGAAGACAAGCCTGCACGCGTCTTGTCATTCATCTGGTTACTCTCTCTATCGTTTCTGGTGTTTCTCGAATTTGTCGGAAGCCTTGCTCTATTCTATTTCGTAGTATTTCAGCATTTACAATCGATGTTGCGTATACGATAGATTTTAAACGTCCCCACAAATGAAAATCTAATGGATTCGAATCCGGAGAACGAGCAGGCCGTGCAATAGGACCTCCACGACCAATCCATTTATTTGCAAAGTGTTGATTTAAAAATTGCTTAGCCACTCGGCTAAAACGCGGCGGAGCTCCATCATGCAGAAACCGCATACGAAGTCTAATATTGACTGGAACTTCCTCTATTTCGTGTAAACGCGTGTTCAAAAAATCAACGTACTTTGCGCCTGTTAGTTTCCCATCGAGAAAAAAAGGTCCAATTAAAAATTTATCAATTATTCCTGCCCATATGTTTCAACTAAACTGGTGTTGATGTCTTGAATGCACAATCACGTGTGGGTTTTCTTCATCCCAATTATGATTATTATGAAAATTGAATATACCATCCCTGGTAAAACTAGCTTACTAGAGTTTGCTCTGTTTATAAAGTTCATTATATCTCATAAACGGAGACAGATAGGACTTGTATTTATATGACATTTTTTTCATTATTTTTAGGTTTACAATCAGCTCCCGAAGTGGGGCCCGCAAGTTACGAAACACCCTGTATATCTAGAACGCGATCTATCGCGGCGCATTGAATACAAATAAGCGGACGCTCTGAAGAGAAGCAGAAAAACAATAACAATGATAAATATGAAATTCCTCGCGGCATAATGGGGAGAGCAGGGCACACGGGGCGATATTGGCACGCTAGCGAGAGCAGGAGAACCCCACGGCTGGAATTCGTGTTTTTCGATATTAAATAACAGGATTTGTATTCTGCAACGATTCCGCTGCCATGAACTGCCGCGCTCTGCCGTTCCTCTGCAGAATCCCCCATTATTTCAATCGTGTTCTCTACGTGAACGCCTCGTGGAATTTGATAAACGCGCGTTCGCTTCGCATACAACTGACAATGACTCGCCGATAAAAAAAAAAAAGAAAAAAAGAAAAAAATTTCTAAGAAATATTCCTCTCGTTCATTTTGATTTTTCAGCAATTACACTCGACACTAGAACTACCAAGGATTGGAGCACAGAATTTTCATCAGAGACGTTAAAGTGAAAAAAAAAANAAAAAAATAGAAAAACCGTAAAATATTAGGATATCCATGAGATAATAAGTTGATAGAAAATTTTATTTTATTCGAGAGTTAATGCAGTTTTAATCTATAATATAATTTAACAGTAAGCACACTAAAAAATGTTAATATATTTAACTAGAACATAGATTATGTTACAACAAATCAAATTATTGTCATTAGATGGCTTATTAAAAAGACTTGTGGGTAATACAATAGAATACACAAGCTTTTATTTACTGTGTTTCATAAAACATTGTTCAAATCTTTAAAAAATATCAAACTAAAAATTAGGAATTAGTCATTTTAGCCACCTCCGGTAGTTTCTAGTGTTGAAAATCGTTAACGCGTGCAATTTTACGAATCGAATAAACTGATTTGAGACGATCGTTCATATTTCAAGTCAGTGGAAAATAAACAACCAGAAATATTGATATAATCTCAAAAAAAAAAAAAAAAAAAAGAGAAGTGCAATTTCTGTAGGACGGTTGCTTTCGACGTTATCATCAGTAGAAAAAGAAAAAGAAAAAAAGGATTCCAATCGAAAGAAACCCCGTGGCAGAAAAAGAAGATTCTGTAGAAATTGATCTCTCGTCTCGCAGTTTTTCTTCAGCTCGGTTCCCCTTAATTCACTGCCAACCACAGTCCCAAAACTCGCCGGGAACGGAGCCCGAAAAGCGCTGGGCTCGCTGCAAGCGCAGTTGCCGGCAATCGTGTTAGCAGAAAAGGCTGATCGGATGGGAATGGTCGCGGAATCTAAGAGATGGTAAGAAAGACAGATGCGAATGGAATGGGATAGGATTGGCCGGAACAAGGGGTGCTTCAGAGACGCTCGAGACGGTAGAAGAGAGAGACCAAGGGCAGGGGAAAGAGGTAAAGAGAACCGCACACAGAAGGGAAAAGAGGGGAGAGAGGGCGAACACTTACCGTGGTTGCTTTTTCTCGATCGCTTTTTGCGAAACTCCTTGCGATCCGTGGCCAATCCTAATTCCAAAAGCTTCTCCTTGATCTTTGGCTTCGGCCGCTTTATCGTGAGCCCATTGAAGATCAAGTCTACGGGATCTGCTTGTACAAAACATAATAAAGGTTATTGATTCGCCAGTGAAAGAGAAAGAAAGAGAGAGAGAGAGAGAGAGAAAGGAAGGAAACGAAGAAATTACTTTTTCGAATCTTCGAAAAAGTCTAGAACCGACTGCTGGAAACAGGATGGGACTTCGTTTCTTCTCAAATTGTAAAGATCGATTCAAAGGCAATGAAACATTCAAATCCGCTGCTTGATAAATGAAAATTTTGTGAATTTCGCGCGAAGCAAGGATGACGTTGTCAAAGTTTCGATGGAGAGAGAGAGAGAGAGACAGAGAGAGAGAGGCGAAGTTTTCGGGGATTTTCATGGGAACACGGTGATGTGAGAGTAATCGCGAGTATTAAAATCACGGGAGGGCGTGCGAGAACGAAGCAAGTTTTACAAAGACTCGCGCAGAAATCTTACTGTCCGACGAAGGAAGGAAGGATATTATTCTTTGGCGTTCCGAGCGGGGGGTTCGAGTCCAGCTGCGAGGCAGCAACCCAGCCCCAGCCGTCACCGATCCGCCCGGCGCTTAATTAAATTTCGAGAATCGTCACCGCTGCTAATGAATTCCCGAACGGAACATTCGCAAGATTCTTCAACTGTTTCCAAAGGCGCGGCCAGCCAGACATCGCGCATTCCCCGCCAAATTACACCGTATCGCTGAGATATATTCATTTACTTACGATACACGACGACCAGCGAGCGCAACGCGTTCGTGAGAATGAAAAATTACCGTCGTCGTGCTTCAGTTCTTCCCAAAGTTCCGTGAGCTGGGCGACCTCGTCCTCCGACCATTCCTTCGGAAGTCTCTTCTGCACCTGGCTCCGTACAGCCTGGAACAACGTTCGACTCTGTCAAAATTTCATAATTGAAGGATCTTGCACAAGATTCTTGACTTGAAATTCTACGTCTACGACGTAGGGGGTGACCAATGTGGTGCTTTTTTTTTTTCCAGCTGCTTGTCGTGCAAATGAGATCTCGAGGAAGATGTCCTGGCGTCTAATTCCGATCCCAAGCCCCTGAGAGTATCTTTGAAACAAGATAGAGGAAAAAGTAAAAGCTCGCTCGTTTTCCAACGATTACGTTTCACCCTCGGCGAGGTTCCTTCTTGTTGGTATACCAAATGGCCGTCGAGCAGCGACTTCACGGACTAAATGAATGTCAAATGAACAGCCAGCCGTAGACCGCCCTCGCTCAGTTTCGAGGGGGCGACGGGTATCCACGCATGAAATTATTTAAATGAAACGGGCTTTCACGAGCCCCTCCCTTTCACGGATTTCGTCGACGAATCGGTAATACGCTTCGCCCCCCTCCCCCCCTTTTCAGTCGTCGCTTCGCGCTGCTTCTTGCTGCCCGTTGACGCGACCTGATGTTTAACTTACTATGAAATTACACGTAATACGCGTGATTCTTCGCAATTGATACCAGCAGCGCCAGAAAACGGACTCGTTTGTAGGGATGAATGAAAGACGCGGGCGTATACGTTTGATAGTATCTTACAACACGATCGTACTGCTACTGAATTATAAAAATTATAAAAATTACAAAAATTATAAAATATAAAAATATTAAAATTATAAAATATCAAAAATTATTTTAAATTTTATAATTATTTTAAAATTATATAATTATTTTAATTATTTATATAATTATTTATTTAATTTTATAATTATTTTAAAATTATATAAAATATTAAAATTATAAAAATTATAAATGATTTGCACTGCTTGAATTACAAATGACTCGTGTACGTACAATAGAACGTCGATTGTCTGAATACAGCCTAATTATGTACATATATACAGGGTGGAAAGAAAAGTGATGAATTCTATACCTTTTTGACCTTGAATTTCAAGATTAAAATTTCTTTTTTTTCTTTTTTTTTTTGCGTTATATTCTACTTATCACGAAGGTAAAATTTTTCCAAGGAACCATGAATTGTAATCTAATAATAGTTCTCTTGAAGAATGATAAAAGAGTGCTAACAGCGACTTTATGGTTCTGGACGCGTGGATGCCTATTTTAAGTAATTTTCACTAACATTCGATTTATCATAGTTGTAGCATCAGTGTGAAAGTAAATAATCAAATGATAAAACTAACTGTACACATTATTCGAAGTATAAACGTTACGTTCACGCGTCCAGAACCATAAAGTCGCTGTTAGAACGCACACGCCCGCAGTGTTAAGAAACGTTTTCGCCATTTTTCGAGAGAACCATCAGGTTGCAACCTATGGTTCCTTGGAAAGGTTTTACCTTCGTGATGAGTAAAACACAATGCAAAGATAGAAAAGATTTTGACCTTGAATTTCAAGGTCTAAACTTTTCTTTCCACCCTGTAACTATATATCGAGCAATATATTGTATATTTTATTCACACGTTTTCTTGCCTCAAATTGCCTTGTCCTAGTGTCTCATTTAAAGCGATGAAATTGCCTTTCATTTGCGCTATGAAAATACCATCAAAAGAAAACGTGTGAATAAAATTGAAGTTAAAATTAAACATTGCTGAACTTTGTTAAAAAAAAAAACAACGAAGATACATACAATTTACATTTAATTTAGTCGAAATGCACAATGTAGCGTGTCAATATTATTAGAATTTCAAAATAACCAGGATAATAAGAGAAACTTTCATCTCTACGGAAGGTTGAAAATAGCGAACGATGATAATTGGATCGAGCTGTGTACGTACAAATGAACTTTGCATTAATTCAAGAGACAGCTCTTGAATTGCGTACCAGGTGAAGGGATGATGAAAATTTTACAGCGTCCGACTTACTGATTATTAGACAAAATATCCATAATAAACGTCCGTATTTGAAAATTGTTCAATTAAAACTCAACTGATTCGCGGCACACGATCGCAAATTTTATTCTTGATAAAATCGTTCATCCAAATTATTTATCCAGATTTGTTTCCTATTAATTAATAATAATCGACGTTCTACAGCAGTAACGAAATCTTGAAAAAATGGTAAATGAGTGTAGACAGAATGTCATTTTTTTTTTTCTTCTTTTCTTTTATCTTGCATTTCTCGGTTGGTATTCGGCTAACAAGTTTTAAAGGATGAAACCTCGGATCTGCTGAACACGCAGCTTTCAGCTTCAACTAAAGTACAATATTTGCAGCAATTAATTTGACGTAAGATAAACTTCAGAGAGATTCCTTTGGCTTAGGAATTTGTCAGGGAATCAATAATATCCCGAGTAATCCAATCACCGCCTCCTAAAGGAGAAACAGCAATCACTCCATTTCCTCTAAATAGTTGCGTTTCGAGTTTAGCGAAACGCAGCGATTTCATTCGTGGAAAGACTTGTAAGAATCCGGTTTGCGTTAACGACGGGTGGTAAAGAAAAGTTTAAAAATCTTAGAAAAAGGCAATAAAGACGGACCGCTCTTCTGTGAAATTCAATTAAACGGGAGGAGGTTATTAAGAGGTTATTTTTAAAAGCATCCCGGAATTTACTAGTAATAGAAAGTGTGTGTATATATACGTCTCAATTTATTATTAATAACTGCTGATCAAAGGCTTCAGCTTTTACAAAAGTAATTAAATTAACTCTTGTATATCTTGCGTGCAAGTAATTAAATCAACTCGCCAGATCATCAACTGTATTTCATAATTCTTTTTATGAAACAATGCAACTTTATTTACAATAAAATACGATTGGAAAAAAAAGTAACTACTAGAAAAATTTGTCGTTTTGTTATTAAATTTATATTTGACAATTAATTTTATATTCAAATTCATCTCAATTTCTACAGGAATAATAAAAAACGCCCTGAGGATTGATCCGTTGAGAATTTTCAGACTACGTGTTTAGCAATAAAAAAAAAAAAAAACAAAAAAAAATAACAGTTGGCAATGATCGAATTTTCAGAGGGAACTGTACGGAGAGAAATCCGGTAAGAAATCAATAACATTCCGAGCGGACAGGTTTGTCCTCGTCTCTGAATGAGTGGTGTGAGTCGCAATCAGACGAAGTCCCGACGGAGCAGCGGGTGCACACCTATGATTAATCGTCAATTTCGAAGTGGGGTAATACCGTTTTAACGGTACTCAGATATATCGTCGCCTTACCCCCATCCATCGTTCTTACTTTCCCCTCTATTTCTCTTTGGCGCACGTGCTTCCAGGTTGCACCGCCGTCTTAAAGCAGGTAATGTCTCAAGATTATCGCTATAACGTGCCCACGCCGCGATGTTGTCCGATGGCTTCCCGACAAACAGAGAGATGTAACGACGAGGCTCGCGTTAAGTCCCCTACTGGCTAAATGAGCACCGCGCAGAATTACGAAAGACACCGAGGAATCAGAAGGAGAAATGTCATCTTTTTTTTTTTTTTTTTTCGACGAAATAATCTGACATCCACTTAGCAAACTAATTTTGCTAATTTCGTTGCCGTAGCTTGAAGATTTCTTAGATGCCCATGGGAAATTATCTAATGTATATGGTGAAGAAATCCAAAGTACGACAGTTTCAGAGTTGTTGATGAAGATCAAATTATTCTTGGAACTGTCTTATGTCGATAGGAACTGAAAAATGGCAAAATCCAACAAAATTTGGTCAATAAAGTTTCTGTCTCTCACGAAAAATTCGCCCTTCATTCACACACACACGCTACAAAAAAAAAAACACAAAATTTTCATTTTCACGTGCAATGACAACCATAACAATTTGCTATTCGTTTCAAAAATAAGTGCATCTAGTGCGATTTTTTTGCAATGTTTATTTAAAACACACTGTCACGGAGTTTAACGAAAATAATATAAGAAAATAAGTTGGAGAAATCAAGTTGTAGAACTTGCGAGTTCCTAATTGGAAAATGGCAAAATTCAACAAAGTTTGGTCAATAAAATTTCTGTCTCTCACGAAAAATTGGCCTTTCATTCATACGCACACTACAAAAAAAAAAAAAAAACGCAGCCACAAAATTTTCATTTTCACGTGCAACCATAACAATTTGCTATTTGTTTCAAAAATAATACATACCGCATCTAGTGCGATCTTCTCGCAATATTTATTTAAAACACTGTCACCGGAGTTTAACGAAAATGACACAAGAAAACAAGATGGAGCTCGCGAGTTCCCAATGAGCGCGATAAATAAAATTCGGGGATTTACGCGGGCCGCTTCTTCGCCGCTTTATTCGATTAGCAAGTAACACGCGCGTTGGAAGCGTGTTACGCGCGAATTCAACGTCCATGCAAATGCTGGATTTCGTTTCAACGGTACATTTTCATGTAAATTTTCTTCAAAGTTGCCGACCGTTACGTTTCGCACTTTTTGAAGCGCCGGGGAAAATTCTGGATTTTCGGGGTCTATGCGATACATAATACATGAAACTGGCGCAGTCACTTGTTTCAAAAGGTTTTGCTCGGAATCGTATTGTAACTAGTCTGCAAAAGTTGTCGTACAAAGGATTATTCGGACGCTGGTAGGACACGCGAGAAACAGGGGAGGACGAATATCGGTCTAACGAAACTCATTCAAATCACCGTTTCCACGCGTCTGCGCGCCGGCATGTGATTTCTTATCAGCCTTTTTACATCCCGTAATAATCTTTTCCGCAGCCATTGTTGCCGCCGCTGAAAATGAACCCCTTTATACCTACGCCTGTACACTGTTGCCCATTGCGGCCGGCATTCAAATGATCTCTCTCAACATAAAGTTCTCACTCACCGAAAATATCGCCCTTCCTCCTTTATATTCCCCCTTTTTTTGGATCCTCATTGTTCTTTCGCGATATCTGTATTCATTATTCTCACCAAGTACGAGACAATGTTAAATAATTAAAATTTATCAGTTTTCGATGATATGAAGGATTTTAACCCTTTGCATTCGACTGAGAGAGGACATCGTACTTAAATCTAGCCAATAGATTGGACTCTCTCTTTTTGTAATTTGCTGACAATTGTAATAAAGCTATATGTAATGATGTAAGAAGAATATTAAATGATACAGTAATTGGTCGTGGTCTTATTTTTACTAGAGAAAAAGGAAAATTTGTTTCATTTAAATAAATATATATATATATATATAATGTACTAAATATATATAATTATAAATTAATTATTAATCATTATAATGTTAATAAATAATATACTAAATATATATAATTATAAATTAATTATTAATCATTATAATGTTAATAAAATTGAAAATACATATGCCTGAATAATAGATATGGAAATTTATAATAAATTTAATAATAAAAATTAATAATAAATTAATAATAATAAAATTAATAATAGATTTCGAATAATTAATAGTAAAAACTGACAAATTGATTTATCATAAAGTTTCTTAATAAAATGAAAATTAAATGCCCACGATAAGAAATTAAATTTGACGATATTTGAACGAATTGACAAAGTTCGAGGTCGAATTATCAATCTCATCAATTCAACAATTGAATACTATGAAAGATGTAAAAACGAAAGAATCCCAAAAAAAGATATTGAAAGGAATTCCAAAGGATTTTAAACTTTAAATAAACTGCCAATTATTTTTCAGCTAGTCACTCTCGCATTTTCGAGCTTCGATAATTATTAACATTGTCAATCATCCTTTATTCGCATCCTCCATTCTCGACAACAAAAGTAAAATAATAATAACAATCCTCGCTCGTTTCCTCCAGATAAATTGTCGAAAGCGGGGGATATTAAGCTCGCCTGGTCTTACTTTGGCGTTTGAATGTTTATACGCGTCTCGCAGGACAAAGGGCAAACAAAGCGATAGTTCGTCGCGGGGGGGTGTCGCGGCAAGGGAAATAACGCGCTCGAACGAATAAGCCACGGATGGAAACTCGCGAACAGGGGAACTTTAATATTACCGACCCACGATTTGAAGTGAGTAAAGGAAAAATTTATTGCCACGTTTCCAAGGCGCCAGTGAACTACAACCATTCTCACCCTTCGCCCCGTCAAAGAACAACGCCGTTAAAATTGTTTTCGCTGCAGCGACGTTCAAGGAGGAACGAATTCGAGCCTTATTCCCCGGTGTCGTATCGAGTCCGACGAATTAATGTTTTTTTTCTCTTTCGTTCATTTCTGCTTTGTAAGCTACATAAGGGAGGACGATCATTGCTGAAACGTGTGAAATTAATATTAGCCTCTTTGCGTGCATTGACGATTTTTTCTCCGTTCTCCTTTTTTTTTTTTTCGTCAAAACTGTAAAAATAACAGGCTATCGAGAAGGTTGATGGTTGATATCGCGTTCAATTCGGTCTCGACAAACCGAACGGAACCGCGGGAGGGTAGATACATTAATTGTCAAGTTTTGAAACGGTTCCAATAGGGCGGGGACCGTTTCTGCCGAGGAGGCAGCAAGAACGATCCATTGAAAGTTAAGGGAGCGTCTATTTATGCGTCTAGCTTCCTGCCGAAAATCTTCGTACACGATCGTACACAGTTGGAAAACGCAAACATAGCGACAGAGCTATGGGTCCTTGCGTAGTCGTACGGCCGCGCCACCGGAAAGGAACACTTGACAGGGGAAAATCTCGAGACACATCCATCCCCGAAGCCGAAGCAGCAGTCGTAAAGGGGGTGAGAGAGGGAGGAAGAAGTGTTGCTGGCACAGCGGAAGTCGCGATCCACGTAGGAACAGAGAAACCTGCTTCACGAGCAGCAGCCTCGGAAGGGAAAAATTGTCTCCGGAGACAATTTACAGTTCCTGCAGGCCAATTCTTTGGCTCAGATTTTTTGCATATGTTCAGTCTGTCACCGACGCCGCTCCACGGAACTTTATTTTTCGAGACACAGCTACCAACCCCTCGCGCTCTCCCACGCCCCTCGTAAATCATTGATCCTGTCAGGGTCATGTCCGACCCGAGGGTGAGCAAACTGGCTGCAAGGGAGCCTGCAAATCTCACAAATTATCGAAGGGGCAACGAGTCAATGTGTCGTTGCGAGAAATGTCGTTTTGAGTCAGTGACTTTTCTCGTTTGAAATTGTTTGGGAACAGCGTCAGATTCATAGAGTCGGTTGCCAACCTCTGGTACGCAAAGATAATATCGGTAATGGCGTGAAACATTAAAAAGAGGAGTTGAAGCGAACACACAGAAACAAAGTTATATGGTTCTGATTTACAAAGAGAGACTTTTGGGACAATTTTCGAGGGACAAGTGAGGCAGGTCTACACGGATTAATTTCAAGAAATACTCAAGGGTGATTCTTGCGAAGATATTGAAAAGGCAGCGACGTTATTTTATTAATCAAAGGATTATCATCATTTGCAAATTTCGCGAAATTTCGTTTACGCGAAAAAAAAAAAAAATGAAACAATTACGCGAAAATGTGTAACAACGTGTAAATGCGAAGAAACTCCTTACCTTTGAATTGACGATCAAGTACATTTCTTTCAATTTCTTCATGATACCACGACGCGTTCTTTCTTGATTAATGTGCTCCAGGATCCAATCGACGACGTCTAAATTGACAAAACGTAAAGATACAATTTATAAATCTATATTTATATATTTATATTGGATCAAAGCTGCTTACCTGATAGGGCCCTTGCCTGATCGCTAGCGCTATCCCCTCCACTGCATGCGAGAGTGGAGGGGATAGCGCTAGCGACCAGAAAAGTAGAGGCAAGAGCCGCCAGTTAGCCACCTCTGTATCAAATTGTCACAAAAGTTTCTCTTTGCATGAAACGATTTCAACAGACGAGTCAACAAAGCTTTGGAAAGATGACGTTACGAAGATACTAAAGTAACGAATGGACGTAATAAATCAGAATGGATCAAACATAATTCAATGATATAATATAATTCAATTCAATGATATAAATCTCTAAAGTAAAAAGAAACTCTTGAGTCAACCTAATACGCAATTACTTGGTATAAAAATATTGGGTGAAGTAAACGTTATTTTTTTTTTTTAATCATTTTGAACAATCGTCGAGATTTTTAATAATCGTCGATAGTTTTAAGATACGGCAGTGTTTTATAGTATCGGCATTATTTATATTCAGTCAATATTATCCTGAAGGATTCGTAGGAAGGGGAAGGATAACCGGATCATCACGAGGGTACGTGATTGGGTTAGCTGATAAATGAAGACGTTGTTATCAGTAATTTAATATTATCGACGATTCTCTCTGACGTCTACCAATTTCGGTATCAAGGATCGCTTAAAATAATGCCATACTATCCGAAACAACACAGCCAGACTTTCAAGTAGCTTCCAGATTAAACGAAAGGGTGTATATATCGTTCCTGGAGCCCCTTATCATTATCTGCGATAACAAATTTGATAATATATATTTGTATCCTAACGTATTATTTAATTAATGTTTGTTTGTCAAAGTATTTCCTTGCAATTCATAATACTTTATTTAATATTTATCGTAAACTGACTGAAAGTTTGTACGATAATAATTATACTTGCTTTTAAATATTAATGAGAAAAATCTTTTATATTTACTTTCTATGTGAAAAATGTTGAAATCAGATTAATGTAACACGTTTGTGCAAATATTTGTTTATACTTAAATTAATGAACATGTTTTTCCAAACACTTAATAATTCGTTGTTTAACGTTTATCGTATTGAACTGATCGAAAATTTCTACGATAATAATTATCATGAAAAAACTTTTATATTTACTTTTATATTTCGAAACTTTCATAAATCTTTTATATTTCGTATGAGAAATGTCAAGATCGACTTAATGTAGCATGTTTGTTCAAACACTCGTAGTAATATTTTGTTTGATACTTATCGTATCAATCAGATTGGAAATATCTGTGCGATGATTATAATTACACTTGCTCTCAAACAGTGAAACGTGAATAAATCTTTTACATTTACTTTCCGTATGAATAATGAGATCGAGTTGACACGTTGACGCAGATTTTTTTCGAAAGTAGAATGATCGTTCCCCTGATAGAATATACTATTCAATCGGCGGCAAACTGGAACAGGATCGTGGCTAATCGTTTCCCTTGGCAAATTCGAAAATAACCGGGAAAGTTGTGCGTTAAAGAAGACTCGTAAATCATGGGATTCATGGGAGGGGCAGAGGGGAGAGGAACAGCGTACCTTGGGGATACTTGTTAGTCTGATGTTCCATAAAGAGAGTGCGTAACTCGTCCTCCTGGGTTTCGGTCCAAAGGCTGCGCGAAACTTTCTTGTTATCCGTTTCCGCGTTGTAACCCTCGACGACCTCGGTCGCGTCACGAGTGGTCTTCCAGAACAGCAGCTCCATGTACGCTTTCCGGTTCTTCTGCGCGACTTCGATGAAACGCCGGATTATGAAAACTGCGAACTTCTGCAGCTCCTGTAAAAGCCACTCGGTTCTCATTGGTTTTCGAGACGAAAGTACCGTAAATTCGACGATTAAAAAAAAAAAAAAAAAGAGAGAGAGAAAATTGCGCGCAGAACAGAGAACTTTAATGTTACAGAAACAATTCGTATTACATTTATCTGTTGCGAGGGAAAATAATTACCTTGTGACCGTGGTACCTCGACTCGAGGATTCTTTGGAAAACGCGGAACATCGACGCTTGGAACATCATTCCCGGCATTTTGCAGTCCCACGCTATACGGTGGAGCATCTTATTGACGTAGTGATTCACCTCGTCTGTGTTCTTGTCGAACTGTTGCAGCAGAATCAACATCGCTCTCACGACTTTCACATTGGCAAATCTTGAAACGAAATGTTATTGCAGGAATCAGACAAATCTAAAATTCTTAGTGCATGCTTGTAAGCACACTTGAGACATTGAAACGAAAGATGGCCTAATTATAATTAGATCAGGATTAAGATTTGTTTTGAAAGTGGCGTAGGTCACTTTGTTTGTTTTGAAATTTCGTCTTAACGCGACCAGAATTTTCGCGCGAAGATTATTACAATATTATAATATTATTTTATATTATATATAGCCAAATTATGAGTCATATTTATTTTGAAAGTGGCGCCAGTCACTTTGTTTTGAAATTTCGTTTTCACGTGCCTAGAACTTTCACGAAAATTCACTTGTATTACTATTTGTCATTTCAGACATTTACTTATTTCTCTCGGTATAAATAATTTCACACGAATGTAATAATTACTATAAAATGACTTGTGCCATTTTTTAAAGATAAACGGTCCATTTATCTCTGAACGTAGGTTCACAGAATTAACTCTTCAGTTAATACTGAATCGCTGTGATTATTTTAAACAGCGAATTATTAAACATAGAAAGTAGATTGACGAATTCTAATTTTTTTGGAATTCGCTAGATACTGCAATTCTTATTCTGAATGCTTCGTCCTACCTGTTGACGAACTCAGAAAACTTGAAATCAGTTTCCACAACCGTGGAATATTGGTTCGATGCGTTCTCCTCTTCGTCCTCTTCCTCTGCAACGTGATATTTAAAATAGTACAAGCAATTTCGCCAAGTGTGTACAAAAATAATTTTCCGCGCGTGATGTTACCTGACACGTTATTAAGAAGTCCCTCAACATTCCCATCCTCGCGTGTCTCGCTTTCAGCGACGAGCTCCTCGTCGACCACTGAAACCAAAATGAAACTTGATTTTTTTCAATTCCGACAATTGCTTGCGTTGTAATGTCGTGCCACGCACGTCGATAATTTTTTGTTCCAAAATTGCAACATTTTCTCAGTTTTAAGTATTTATATTTAAATTACATTTAAATTATATTTTAATTTATATTTTAATTACATTTAAATTATATTTTAATTTATATTTAAATTATATTTAAGTAATTTAGCATTTTATAATATATTATAATATATTAATATATTATAATATAAAATAAATTATATTTTAGTATTTAAGTATTTTAGTATTTTAGTATTTAAGTAATTATATTTAAATTATATTTTAATTTAATTATATTTAAGTATTTTAGTAATTATATTTTAGTATTTAAGTATTTTAGTATTTTAGTATTTAAATAATTATATTTAAATTATATTTTAATTTATATTTAAATTATATTTAAGTATTTATATTTAAATTATACTTAAGTATTTATATTTAAATGTAACCCAGGCAAAACAAACGATAAGTTTATAACTTCTCAATAATTTCTATCTAGTGATATCGTATCGACGAGTTCGAAAAGAAAAAGAAAGCGACGAATTATTTGTATACGGTCGCTCGTTATGGTCCGCGAACCAGGTGTTGCACGGTGTTAAAAAGAACGATTTCGACATCAAGCGCGAGGAGAGAAAAAGATCTTCCGACGAAAATTTCACAGTGAGACGAAGAAGAAAGAGAAGTGGAGCGCGGTCTCGAGGCAACGCGCGCGGCGTTCGTAGTTTGTCATAAAAAAACATGCCAACGTGGTAAATTGCGAGGCCATTCCTTCGCGTCGAACGAGCACCGAAATTCGAGCTCGAACAATTGCAATCTTCGCTGCAACAGAGAGCACGTGCCGGAGGAATCGATGGACGCCGAATTCGCCAGCGTATTTTCCACCGCCAAATCGAGCAAATCGTACGTCGGAAGTGGCAATCCCTCGGATCCCTTCGGTCCGTCGAAATCCACGTGAACGATTCGCGAGAGGTCGCGGCTGGATTAATTTACGGGGAAAATTCGTGGAAAACAGCCGAAACGGAACGCGGAATCTGATCGAATCGGATCCCGCGTAGGGTTTCGCGTTGCCTTGTTTCCTTCTTTTTTTCCACCACCGCGGTTGCACGGGAGGGGGCGACACAACGCACGGCATCGGCGAATTAAGCGGCTGCGGAAAGACGATTACATTTTTCGACGACTGTGTCGCGCGGCGAGGCGAAAGGGGGGAGGGACGAGACGAGGCGAGGTCGAGGCCCCGATGGCCAGGGAAAAATTGCACTCGGTGAAAAACGAGCGACTCGATCGGCACAAAGCTTCGTTACCGGGCAAATTTTCTAAGGCTTCGCCGCCGTGTCCCCCTTTTCCTCGCTTTGGAAAAGTCACCGACGTTCCGCTCGGTCCTCGCCGGCCCTCGGGTCATTGTTAACCCCTGAAATTGCGAACGAAGCCCAACTAACGTTAGTTTTTAATTCTTCTCCTCGTCTTCGTGTTTCCCACCCCCCTTCCCTTTTTCAAAAATCGGAGCATTACTGTTTCTAATTCTTCTACTCGTATTTGTGGTTTTTTTTTTTAAATTCTCATTTTTATATTCTTTTCCCTTCTTTTTCAGTGATGGAAGCATCATTGATTATAATTATTCTTCTCGTTTTCGTGTTTCCCACTCCCCTTTCCCTTTTTCGATAATCGGAGCATTACTGTTTTTAATTCTTCTACTCGTCTTCGTTTTTCCCATCCCCTTTCCCTTTTTCAATAATCGGAGCATTACTGTTTTTAATTCTTCTACTCGTATTTGTGTTTTTTTTTTAAAAATTCTCATTTTTACATTCTTTTCCCTTCTTTTTCAGTGATAAAAGCATCATTGTTTTTAACTCTTCTTCTTGTCTTCGTGTTTCCCACTCTCCTTTCCCTTTTTCAATAATCGGAGCATTACTGTTTACAATTCTTCTACTCGTCTTCGTTTTTCCGACCCCCCTTCCCTTTTTCAAAAATCGGAGCATTACTGTTTTTAATTCTTCTTCTCGTATTTGTGGTTTTTTTTTAAAATTCTCATTTTTATATTCTTTTCCCTTCTTTTTCGGTGATGGAAGCATCATTGATTTTAATTCTTCTTCTCGTTTTCGTATTTTCCACCTCCCTTTCCTTTTTTTAATAATCGGAGCATTACTGTTTTTAATTCTTCTACTCGTATTTGTGATTTTTTTTAAAAAATTCTCATTTTTACATTCTTTTCCCTTCTTTTTCAGTGATAGGAGCCATATTGTTTTTAATTCTTCTACTCGTATTTGTGGTTTTTTAAAAATTCTCATTTTTATATTTTTTTCCCTTCTTTTTCAGTGATAGGAGCCATATTGTTTTTAATTCTTCTACTCGTATTTGTGGTTTTTTAAAAATTCTCATTTTTATATTTTTTTCCCTTCTTTTTCAGTGATAGGAGCCATATTGTTTTTAATTCTTCTACTCGTATTTGTGGTTTTTTAAAAATTCTCATTTTTATATTCTTTTCCCTTCTTTTTCAGTGATAGGAGCATCATTGGTTTTAATTCTTCTTCTCGTTTTCGTGTTTCCCACCCCCCTTTCCCTTTTTCAATAATCGGAGCATTACTGTTTTTAATTCTTCTACTCGTATTTGTGATTTTTTTTAAAATTCTCATTTTTACATTCTTTTCCCTTCTTTTTCAGTGATAGGAGCCTTACTGTTTTTAATTCTTCTTCTCATTTTTCCCGTTCTTTCTCCAGTGATCGACGTATCACACGCTGCAATTTTATTTGCAGGTAAATTCTGACGTTTCGAATTCTCGAGAACATTTCGGCCAACCAGCGACGCACGTTGCGCAAACAACATTGAACAACGAGCGAGCGAATGTTGTTGGAAAGTAATCGGACGAGGCACGTTGAATCGGTGGCGTCGCGGTGCCGGAGGAAACTTTTCTTTTCCCCGGCCCTTGAGGAATTCAGTTCGCCGACGAGGTGACGTCGTCGACGACGTTGCTGTTTCAACCTGAAGTTTTAATTGTTCCCGTCCGCGGTACGGCTTCGAACTCGGCACGCCGATTCGAAATAAAACGAAACGCGGAGAAAGAAGGCGGCGACGTTTTCCATCTTGAATTGAGAAACAACGACGCAACGGAGGAAATTAAAGACACTTTTTGCACGTTGTTGCCCGAAGACCGATAGAGAAAATTAAAATGCTCATCGCGCTCATTTGAGCGAGACAGAACTTTTCCATTCGCGTGACGAGGCTTCTAATAAATAAATATTCACGATTCGACGTTGGAAATTTACGAAGCTGCGCATCGCGAGTTCAAAGGGGAAAATTGAATTTGTTTTCGTTAAACGAGTTTTATACGAAATCCATTTAGCTCGGGAACATTATTATTCAATCCGATTTAAATCAAACGCCTCAGCTGCTGCGAAATGTTAATGCCCGGAAGTACGTATACGCGAGATATACAAACAGCAAGATTATCCGAACGCGAATGCGAAACGCACGCGCCCTTTAATGGACGTTTTGAAGCATTGTAGCGTTGACTCGTGAAAATGCGTGAGAATTAAACAACGACTCGTCAATAACGAGATATCGTTTCCAAAACGAAAAATTCATACGCTCTCGATCGGCCAGTGAAAACTGCCGTGCCATTCAAACTTTCATATCCCATAAACGAACGTCAGCGGATATTAATATTAATCTGAATTTATTGACGAAAATCGGTCCTATGTGCACGTGCGTAAATTCGTAGGATCTTGACTCGTTTCGTCGATTTGAACGATCACGTACAGTGAAGAGCACAACGATGTCAGTCAACGATGAAAGATTATCGATAGTTCAAACTCATGCAACTCTTGGTAGAAAGAGATCATGTTCGTTTCACTTTTCTTAAAGTGTTGAAGGCTTTATTTTGACAGTCGTGAGTTCCCTTCGAAAATGACTTTACACTGATCTCTTGAAGATTGTAGAAATTCAAGCGCGTCGAAAAAAAAAACTTTTTCACGACTAAATCCACCGTGATCTTGAAAATTGACATGTTTCATTTACAACGACTTTTTAAAACTCGTTGCACGAGTTTTTCTTTGTTATTTTATTCAGCTTGGAATTAGATTAAATGGCAGGTTATTCGGATTTCTTTACTTTTCGTCGTTTCATTCTAATAGTCGACATTCAATAAGACAGTGCAGAAAAAAATTGTACAAGTTTTAGGGAATCTTCAATCTTCAAAACGATGGTGGATCCAATCACGAAAATAAATTTTTACAATTGTCGAAAAAAAAAATGTGTCCTCTCATCGCTACGTCGTGTAAAATCATCTTTAAAGTGAGACCTAAATGCAATCGTTGTATAATCTTTCCTTTTTTTTTACAAAGTTGCATCAGTTTGAATCTTTTAAAAGACACAACTTTTCATTATCGTTATTCACTTTTCAAGCCGCTTGTTTGGCGAAGATTTTAGCAATGGAGATCTGTCAACAGGATGGAAGAAAACAAAATTCTCAAAATCGAGATCGTCAACAGGATTTTCATCGTGAAATCAGTTGAATAACTTATTCGTTAAACGAAACGTACTGACGTGTTTGTCAATTAAAATTTATCCGCGTACACCTCCAGCAGATTGGTCTGGAATTCTGTTAAGTCAATACTAACTGATCTAATCCCGAGATATAATCCTGTTAGGTGCGAGAGAGTTATAATGTAATTCATAGATACTAGAATCGTAAGGGTCTCGAACTCCATCGAGGGATTGCATATCTGTACAAGAGTTGCGGAACTGAACACGTCCGACGATGTTCCATCAAAGCTCTTTGAGATATTAGAAACAATATCTCAACGTACGTACACGTACATGGGACACGATGTATCGACTAATTTGATCGATTTCTTGCCTCGAGCGAACTTTAGTTTAGCGATACGTAACAAGATATTGAAATTTTTAACAATATTCCCTTTTCTTTTTCTTTTCAATCGACGTCGACTTGGCGG